GGCTAAATTATCATATTTCACTCACCTGAATCTTAAGGCCATTTGGGGATGATTTCCCAGTGAGGGAGAACAGTGAGGTTGTTATAATTTACCAAGATTTATGGAATTTTGCCCATAGAACTCAGCATTTATAACTTTATAACCATTTCGAAAAACAACGGATTATCAGGGTCCCAACATCCCAAATATGAGAGAGAAAACTGGGTACACACTTTCAGCCACCTTATGGCAGATTTAGCAAAAACAAGTTGGAGCAACACTGTTTTGTTTTTTTTGTTTAATGGCATTTCGAAGGAGACAATGATGGTATTTTCACTGGGAAAGAATGAGTTGTTCTTGGCATTTTCAGACATTTCTTGATAACTGGTAGGAAAACCTCCCAGTATGGAGCCGTGACGATCCGTGACGATCCAGAATGATCAGCGCCCCACGAGGCCACATGTGCCATGTGACTTACCAGCTGGGATGATACTCCAAAAGCCAAATTCCTTTTGTTTTTTCGGTCAAAGCTGCGAGGCCAATCAGGTACTGCTCAACAAAACACAATCCAATCTGAGAAATCCCTGACCGACTGGCAGAGACACTCTGGTTAAAGCCTCTGTCAAAAATCAAGGTCCGAAGATTGCTTGGCAACATAACTCCTTCCAGGCTATGGTTAAAGCCTCTGCCAAAAGTCAAGGTCTGAAGACTGCTTGGCAGGGTCACTCCTTCCAGGCTCTGGTCAAACGTCGCGCCAAATGTCAAAGTCTGAAGACTGCTTGGCAGGGTTATTGGTTTCAATCTCTGGTTAAAGCAAACGCCAAATGTCAAAGTCTGAAGACTGCTTGGCAGGGTCATTCCTTCCAGGTTGTGGTTGAACGCAATTCTAAGTTTCAAGGTCTGAAGATTTCTGGGCAGTATCACTCGGTCCAGGCTCTGGTTACAGCGTACGCCCAATGAAAAGGTTTGAAGACTGTTCGGCAGGGTCGTTCGATCCAAGCTCTGGTTAAAGCCTCTGCCAAAAGTCAAGGTCTGAAGACTGCTTGGCAGGGTCACCTCTTCCAGGCTCTGGCTAAACTCATCGGCAAATGTCAAAGTCTGAAGACTGCTTGGCAGGGTTATTGGTTTCAAGCTCTGGTCAAAATCTCTGCCAAATGTCAAGGTCTGAAGACTGCTTGGCAAGGTCACTCGTTCCAGGCTCTGGTTAGACTCAAGGCCAAATGTCAAGGTCTGAAGACTGCTTGGCAGGGTCACATGCTCCAGGCTCTGGTCAAACTTTTTGCCAAATGTCAAGGTCTGAAGACTGCTTGGCAGGGTCACATGCTCCAGGCTCTGGTCAAACTTTTTGCCAAATGTCAAAGTCTGAAGACAGTTTGGCAGGGTCACTCCTTCCAGGCTCTGGTCAAACATATCGCCAAAAGTCACGGTGAGAAGACTGTTTGGCAGGGTCACCCGTTCCAAGCTTTGGTTAAAGTTTTCGCCAAATGTCAAAGTCTGAAGACTGCTTGGCAGGGTCATTCGTTTCAGGCTCTGGTCAAACTTTCTGCCAAAGGTCAAGGTCTGAAGACTGCTTGGCAGGGTAATTCCTTCCAGGCTGTGGTTGAACGCAATGCCAAGTTTCAAGGTCTGAAGATTGCCGGGCAGTGTCACTTGCTCCAGTCTCTGGTCAAACCGATCCCCCAAAAGTCAAGTGTTCAAGACTTTCTGGGAGATGGTGCAAGTGCTCTTTAGTTTCTGCACCTGCTATCCGCGTCACTCCCTCTAGTGCAAGCTCTCTTTGAGAGACTGGCAAACCTTGGACAGCACGCCACGCTGCATAGAGATCTGTCGGAACATAAGTGCACGAGAGCGTTGCAGCCTTGCCCACGATGCCTTGTGACTGCAATTCTTTGTGTAGTATCAGAGGTGAGTCAAGGTGATACAGGCTGAGTCTTGCACCTTTTTTTCGAGGCAGTTGCTTCGAAACCATCCGGTACACTTCCAAACCAGTACAGGCACTGAGCTGCAACTGGTATCCTTCTATCCTTCACCATTCAAGCATTGTACAGAAAGGTCAATTAAATCTGAGCCATGACTTGGCCCAAAAAAATACCCGCATCACAGGCCACCAATCGACGTGGGGCCACAGGGGCACCGGGCTATACACGCGACAAGGGTGAACTACCACAATAGACAAAAAGTCGATGGGCTCTCAGTCAGCGCAATCTGAAAAGAAACAATGCGTATGAGCAAATTACCCTCTGGTTATGACTAACATAGCCATGGTATAGATGGCCCATAGACATAGATGGTTTACCGTTCTTAAAAATGGGTGGATCTTTCCATGGCTATGTTAGTCATAAGCAGATGGTATAAATGTTGTTTTGGTGGAAAACCCTCACAAGGTCACCACACCGTGGTGAGCGGTGTGAACCAGGGCTCTGGCTTTTGAATCATCTGCAGTGGTGTGAAACACATGGCCTTTCCATAGGAAATGATGTTTCATTATGGTTAATCTTCTTGTGGCATGTCAGCCAGCCATGATTCATGCTTTGAAGATGTTTGTGCATCGTTTACGGAACATCGGTCGTTTCATTTCAGGTTGTTAATGTGCATTTGGTTGTTTGGGACATGTGTTTACCCTTGGGTAGTCAGACATGGCAACTGAAAAATCATGAAAATCCAACAAAACATCTATATACGCATTGTATTTTTCATGGGGAAAACAAAACATCTATTACCCTCTGGTTATTTAACATAGCCATGGAAAATGGCCCATTTATAGATGGTTTACCTATTAAAAATGTTGATTTTCCATGGCTATGTTAAATAACCAGGTGGTAATAGGGCATTGTCCAGCCCTGTTTGATTACAAGAGGCTATACGCTTTGCAAGTAGGAATTGACAGCAAGTGATCGACCACTGTTGCCCACTTACAAGTTGGTGTCCACCACTTCGACCAACTTGGTCACTATAAATGACTCTTAGTTATGTTTTAGCTATATGATATTATGATTATATCTCATTGTATATCATTATATCTCATTATATCTCATGATATCTCATGATATCTCATTATATCTCATTATATCTCATGATATCTCATGATATCTCATGATATTTCATTATATCTCATTATATCTCATTGTATCTCATGATATCTCATGATATCTCATTATATATCATTATATCTCATGATATCTCATTATATCTCATTATCTAAAAGTTACCTGGGTTTTCTTCGCCGGTTACATTTCACTGGCTAATTCGCGGCACTTTTTTTCTGCCGCCTTTTGGATCAGGCGAGGTGGACCCAGCACACCCAGGAGCCGGACGTACGAGACTTCTGTGACTTGAGACCAAGTCCAGCAACAAGTTCCTTGGGATCCCAGGGATCTCATGCGAAATGCGGATGGAAAAGCTGGGTGAATATCTATAACAATAAATGACCATATAAATATTCCCAAATCATGTTTGATCATTTTTTTAAACATATGATATCTAAATTAGATCCCCCTTTTAAAAAAGTGGTGCTTGTCTTTTTGTTGCCCAATTTTTGGACTCTCCCGGTTGACTGAGATGATGTGGGGATCATGTCCCCTTTTGAAAAGGACACATGCATGATACATGAAGATGGAAGACACATGTAGGGCCACATGTAGTATGTATTACCCTCTGGTAAACTAACATAGCCATGGAAAATCACCATTTTTAATAGGTAAACCCAGGTAAATCAAGTATAAATGGGCCATTTTCCATAGCAAACTGTTAGTCATTACCAGAGGGTAAAATTTGGGAAGTGCCGTGATGTGACCAATTTTATCATGGCAGTAGGGGATGACTATTATGGCATCACCAGGACGGTCAGAAAGCCGGGTTTTTGTTGCAAATACAACTGGCAAGAAACAGTTCGCATGATACAGATTCGATATTTAGAATAGATTATCTGATTTGACCAAACAGGGTCATCACACTCTAGTGATCTCTAAAGAACAAGGTCCATATGTCCATCACGAGTCAAACCAGTGGGAAAACCGGTAGTCCGAGGCTTCTGCTGATCTGCCCAATCATCTCAGCAAGAGATATCATATATAGAAATGATCTCATGATTCATCATTTCTGAATCAACAAAAAACAGCTTATGTCTAGACTATCTGACTAGAATCCCTGATCTTTTCATGATTCATACACAAAATATTTCTAGAACCCCTGAAGCTGGCACAACATCAGGGGCTCATAGTTGAGCGATAGCACGATAGCAAACTGAGGATTGAGTGAAGTCCGATTCGCCACAAGGACATGTTTCGATTCGCAGCAAAACCATAGATTTCCATACCAAAATGGTGGTAAATTTGGATGATTTGGGGGGTAACAACCCAATTTTTCCACACACCTCCAAAGGAAGATCATCTAAAACGTGGATTTAGGCCCCAAGTTGTCTGGTCGGTGGTTGACCTACCCCTCTGAAAAATATGCGAAAGTCAGCTGTTCACCTTATTCCTAATATATGGAAAGTCATAGAATTCCATGGTTCCAGTCACCACCAAGCAGTATTTCATATCATCCCTATGATTCTCCCAAGAACCTCCCTCCATAAAGGTGACACTTAAATCCTACAATGTGGGGCCCTCAAGATAGCTAAGTTGGTTTATATTATAACTCCAATATTGCCAATAACTATGGTTTATGGTACTTAAAACATCTTATAACTATACTTACTGGTGTTTATAAACCAACTTATAACTAAAAAACAACATTGTATACCATACCCATCCCCGGCTCAAGAATCACCATCCGTACAGTGACGGAAAACGAGTTCTATCCACCAACTAGAGTTATGTAACATCCATTGACATCCATAAACCATACATAGTATAATAGTCATAGGTCTATAATCCAATTACAACATATTTATAACCCATAGGCTCCATGGTGCTGGTATATATGCTAACATAAAGGGGGTATATTGATGGGATTCATGTTACCGTATATACCATACATGGATCCTATGGGTAACCTAATAACATTGTTATAACCTATAGTTATAACCTATAGTTATTGCAACCATCAACTGGTTGATCCCAGGACATCCCCCCCAAAAACTCGCCAAGAGTCACATCGTCTTTGGTGAGTCCGTTGCCACGCAGGTCCAACTCTTGGATGGTGCTGTCCTCGTGTAACAAGCCTTGGAGCGATCAGCAAACCAGGGCATACACGGAAAAAGCTGGTGGATGTTTATCTATGGTACAGTTTTGTGGCCCAACTAACAGTTTTTTAATAATGGGTTTATTTAACATTATATAACCCTAGTAGTAGAAAGTATAGGAAAGATAATTCCATTTATAACTGTTAGTTGGGCGATAACGGTATGGGATTTAAGCAGCAAATCAGATGTTCATTGGGAATGAACATCAACATCAAACCCCGATACTTTATGGAATGTGAAGGGGAAATATCATGGGATATCACCAAGAATATGTCTTTGGCGTGTCTTAAAAATGGATTTTCTTCCAAGAAAATGGTTCGGTTCATTAAAATGGCCTCCACATAGGGGATCGACGGTAAAAAGTACGACATCTGTGGGGTAAACAGGTCAACCACCATAAATTATGGCTACTTGAAGGGCTTTGTACCATGAATTATGGGTAACTATAGCAGGGTTCGATGTTGCTTATCAAAATCACCAACAACTGCGATGTAAAAAAAATCGGGCCGATCCTTGAAGATCTATGATTCATTCATTGGGGTGATCACATCCATGGGAATCTCCATAAAACAGATGCTCACGGCATTTGGGGCCCTGCTACCAGCCGAATGTGCCGAACGTCACTTGTGAAATCCCATGACTTTGGTCTCAACCACAAGGTCGTGCCCAGCAGTTCTGTTTGGTTCTACAGCAAGCCAACTGGCTCCCTATCTGCCTATCTATCAACCCAAAACATCCCAAAACATCCCAAAACATCCCAAAACCAAAAAGTTAGCCTAGTCCTGTGGCTCCCAAGTTACCCAACATTTGGGCACCACCATGACCCCAAAAACCATGTCATTCTCAGGTTCCCGGCTCTTCAACACCTCATGAAGAAAGTTGTCAGCGAAGCTGGGTTCGTCGGGTAAGAGATCCTGACAGCCGAAGCGGGGCCAAAAAAAAGGTGGGTTTCTGTTTGTTGACCTTGTGGATGTGTGATAAGTAAGTTGGTTGGTGGATCTCTTATGCTAGCAGTTTGTGATAGTTGGTGTATATTAGGTAAGTTCTATGAGAACGTTTTTGGATTTATGGTGGATATATCTGTCGGTAGATGGGGTAGCAAAAACCAACTTAGAACTGAGGGGCCCCTTCCTAAATGAACCCACAAAACTGGACCAACGATTTAAGGGGATGTAACGGCATGTAGTCAACTGTTTTTACCGATGGGGGTTTAACCAAAATGGTATGGCTGCAACAGCCTTTCTGACAAGTCCCTAGTCGCAGTGTATGTTTTGGTCGTCGGCAGCCATGTGAAAACCAGCTGGGTGAACCTCATTGCGTAGAAGTCTCTACTTTCTACGCCATCCTCTGCCGGGAGCAGGTAACCAGCTTCCGCCATGGTTTATCGCAGCTGCACGCCTCCGTTGACCCCAGGTCACATCGCAAAACCTCGATTTTCCTTGGCAAGTGCATCATTGCGAACAGTCGACCTTCGCTCCATCGAACACCCTTTCCTCTTCGGATGAAAGGATCCGCCCCCAATTGACCCAAATCTTGTGTTCAGTCGACTGTGCACACCCCTATCTTGCATAGAAAAAAAGTAATCAAACCATCCAAATAATCGGCAGCACATCAAAACGTCTGGAAATATTGATGGGGACATGAAATTAATCTGCAGAAAAAACGCAGAAGCAATATGTACCTTCTGGTAATTTGACATACAGTAGCTATTGAAATGGCCATTTATAATTAATTGATTTGCCCATTAAACAAGATGATTTTCCATATTTATATTAGTTTACCAGAGGGTAACACATGGGAAAAACCTCCACAGGTCTGAGTGCTCACATTAAACCAGAGTTTCAAGACCATAAATGTCGTGGTCCCAGCACAAGCTTGCAACCCATGAATCATTTCTGACGGTCTCTTTCTATCTAACCTTGTAACAACTCAAAAACAATAGAACACTTATCTAGTCATGTCTGTTCTTCTACCTATATATATATATATTATATATATATATATATATAGTCTTGCCACTTGCCTCCTCCTCTTGCTGTGATGCTTTCCCATGGCCATCCATGGCCAGCCTTTCACACTCTACATTTTGTTGGATATTCCAATTTGTAGCAAACAATTGAAGGACTAAACTACAAGCTGGTGCCGTGGTTTGTTGGGTAACTTGGTTTATGACTAAGCAGGCAAACAGCATTTTGTTTCGAACTAGTTCATTATATTATGGGTTTAAAACGCAAGTAAGGTTCAACTGGGGGGCAGCGGCAGCCATCTCCATCCATTTGCTCATGTGGACCCGACCGCCTCCGCGATCATCGCGCACGCCGCCGGACTTCCCAGTCGTAAATCCGGACGCCAATGAAAGCGCCTCTTCCCAGGGTCGCCGAGACCCCCGTGGATAGCGAACGAAGTTGACGCATATATGATATCGGGGTTTTCATAAATATGGGTACCCCAAATAGGACCCCAAATCATCCCAAGATTAGACCATTTGAGTATTAAATCCCATGGTAACTTGGAGATTTGCCTATTTCAAGACCCCCCCCATATCTTCTGGTTGGTGGTTTCAACCCCTCTGAAAGATGTTACTCTTTATTGCTCTGTATTGGGGAGCCACGGGGCGGACGGACAACCCCGCAGTCAATATATGGAAAAATAAAAAATGTACCAAACCACCAACCAGTCTTGGAATGGATGTTTTCTTTGGGGGGAATATAACGAAGCAGTTATGTATATATATATATATATATATATATAGGGACAATTGCCTTGATTCACTATGATATATGGGGGATATAACGAACCAGTTAATGGGGTTATAAACCAACAAACATAACTGGGGGTCCTCATCTTGTAATATATGATCTAATGGGGATATATAAAGATTCTTTAGGCACTAAGCATGGGGCTACCATATGATTGAATATAACAGTAACATGATGTAATGGTCATTTCATGAATTTTAATGACATGTAGGAGTAGAACAGAGATATTCATGGCCACTGAATTTTGAGGTACACTATTGACAAAGCCACATTGAGCATCATGGAGCCCCTATGGATCAAACCACTTTCTGGGAAGGTACGACTAACACAGTTATGGCCCTTAACAATTATTTTTATGGCTTTATAATGATATATGGACCCATATAAACCTAGTTATAGGAGTTATTGTTTTCCATTTATAACTTCTACTTGGGCCATAACTGCAGTCATCATACCCAAACGACCAAACGACTTCCTTTTTGAACGGCTGCATAGGGACCATTTTTTGATTTCATTGTGGAGCGCAGGAAGGAGTATCACTGCACCACCAACCGGATGGTTGACACCCATCCAAAATAATGGTGCAGGATTTCGCAACCATCCACAGTATGTGGCAACTCCCGAAAAAATAGAAAACATCATGAAAAGACAGGTATCACTAAAATTGTTTGTACTACGTATAATTGATGTTATACAAAAGGCATGTATCACTAAAAAGTTTAGTATGATGTCAATCCTCCTTTTTTGGGGTTGCTAAAGCTCGCCCACATGAGTCAACCTATGTCAAGGGATGATCCAGTACTTAAGGCCCCTGCTTAGGTGACTTTACTGTCCTAAATTTAGGATTTATGTCTATAGTTTCTAATGATTTTATGCGGCTTTAATTGATTTTAGGTATGTGCTAAAGCTATGAGATTTTCCAAACCGGGGATGCAGTGATTGCTCTTGTTCCGGGACCATCCAGGATAAATCTGGGATGACGAATATATGTGTACACGTATATGCTGTATAACTATATTAACACACATATTAATACATATCAATACATAACTATACAGCATATACATATATGTCACATGTCTACTTCACCTTAACAAAAATTACACATGATGTTAATGCATTTGGGTGGGTTTGAGCGATATCCCTCATTTGTGGCAATGTGAACAATGTGACAAGGGAATATATGATGTTTCACCAGTTGATTTTTTTACGTATGAATCCGCAATTCGTATTCAGCATGGTAGTATAATATAAACACATATAAAAAACATACAAGTATTTCCAACACGTGACCGGCAAGTTAACACCAAAGTAATTATAGCCGTCAGAAACGTATCATAACATATCTAGCTATATCAGCCATATTGACAAAGCATGACAAAGCTATAAAAACCAACATATCAACGATATCAAACTAAGGCAAAATGTCAACACATATCTAATGTTATCCATCATATTATCCAACATATCACATATCTAGCATCAGGTCACGAAAGGGTCACTATGAAAAACATCGAAGTGTTGGATTCCGAGTTGCCACAGCCTCAGCAAATTCCGAGCTTCCCCACACTGGTGCAGATTCATCGTCGCGCAGGTGTTCCGCTTCCATGACCTGAGAAAACCCCGCGGATCGCTGCGCGGTGAATGTAAAAAATACGCTATACATGGTTAGTACTACAATATGTATATATGTACTATTTTAGGTTATTAATTTGGAGGTACAATTCTAAAATGAACCATCACCACCTATCCATATATCAAATCATATAAACATAATTCTGTGATATTCTGTATATATATATATAGCTATACACCTGTTCCAGTGGGTGTACCAATTGCAGCGACCACCAAGCAGGATTGAAAGTCATCTTCCAATCAGACTGTCTCTGAAAATTTGATAAACTTTGCCTCTTGGGCATTGGGAACATGATGAGTTCATGCGTTCATCGAGTGAATTCTGTTTCGGGAAGCGTTCATTGCGTTCCCGGCAGCGTCCATCTCATCCCCAGGTCGAACGAAGCGCAATTCACCTGCGATGATCAATCCACAGGGAGTGCACCACTTGACCCAATGCCCCTGGCTTCCACATGTCATAAGGGTTTTTGGTTGCGGTTTGCTTGAAATGGCAGTGTGTCAAAACCAATAGTACCCCTGTAGTTCACATCAAAATAGCTGGTAAATGATGGTAAATGGATGTTCATCCCCCTAAAAATGGTATTAATAGGTATTGATCCATAGCCAAATTTCAACCATAGCTACTCCAAAAATGGTCAACTTGGCCATGCACTGGGTGTTGTCATGTCAAGATCTGTTGTAGGAGAGGTGTCATTTCACCGGTTTTTGTGATGTGTTGGGATATCTATTGGACAGGCAATTGGACACAGGTCCCCCAAAAAGATCGGCAAGACCCGTGCGGCCTGGAAATTGTGATTTTCCGATCGGATGTGTTGTTTGTTCATTGATTTTACCCATACAAAAATCTATGGAAAATCACACTCTTTAATAGGTAAATCAACTATAAATCTGCTATTTTCAATAGCTATGTTAGTCATTACCAGAGGGTAAGAGTTTCATGGTCAAATTTCAGCAGTGTATCCTATTTCACTGGATTTTTGGAAAGATCATGGCACATTTCCACGGCATTTTCCGGGAGTGTCCAACTCTTGACCCACCCGAACGCAAAGCCAAGTGACTTCCTTTGCCGCACCACAAGGGTTTGGAACTATCGGGCCATTCATCGGGCCGCGCCTGGCACAAGGTGGTGACCCCCGAATTAATCAGTTGCAATATATATTTATATATTATTATATAAATAAACCTCATTAACCATATGTCTCTCATAAAATTATAACCCTCATTAACCGTAGATATGTTCTCCGTAAACATGAGTTCTTGGAGCTATTTAAGCTAGACATAGGGTCAACCGATTACCAACTACCATGACTACCGATATCATCTATGATATCTATACTGTAATCAAACACGGCATTCGGAAACATCCACCTAATATAATCATAGATTCGATGCAGGTTTTCCCATATTAAAACATATTAAAACCACTTAGAGTCGCTCCATATTAAAACCAGAGATCTTCAATTGCCACATCACCGGAGGGTCATCTAACTTGGCTCACAACAAGTTTTTTTTCCGGCTGAAGAATGCTGGACTGACCTGATTGCTAGCTATTATCATATGGCCACTTTGGGATGAAACTATATATATTTATAAATATATAAACATGAAAATAAAAATAAATGTATATATATATATATATATATATTATATCATCACTCTTTCACTCCTTCACGGGATAGTTCCAATATATCCCCATTCATAGACGATGCCAGATATTGGAAACGCTCAATGTCTGACTCAGTGCTTCGCCCGTTGGGTGAATCCTAAAGGGCAACATCCCGCAGTGTCGAAACGTCCAAAGCGTATCTACCGCAATCTACAGCTATGGCCCAACTAACAGTTATTTTGATGGGTTTATAATGATATATGATACTATATAATTATGGTTTTTTTCATGATATATAATATTATATAAGCCTAGTTGTAGGAGTTTTTGTTTTCCATTTATAAATGTTAGTTGGGCCATAACTGTACCTACTTAATCTCAGATCTACCCTCTGGAAAGTGTTCATGTATGGATAGTGTGCCTATTCACCATGGCTTCTCGAGGACCCTTTTCGCTCGCCTGAAGCTGCAGCTGCTGCCGCAAGTTGCACATGACAAACCTGGCTGGTTGCGCTTGCGCATCCAAATCATCCACAAATTTGAACCACCAGTTTCCAAATGCAAAGGATTGTGCGTCTGCGGGCAAAACTTATACACCCCCCGCAGAATTTTGCCTGGAACCCAAACAAATGTTGCATTATATCATATCTGGGTAATCTTTTCAGTGGTCCCGAAAAATATTAAGGGATACCCCTAAAATTTGGTAAACTACAGCTATCAACTTCAAGGCCACACCTTCTGCATGACGATGTCCGCTGAAGCATTTGCTTTTTGATTGCAGGGCTTGCCGGGTATAGCATTCAAATTCCTAACAAGACAGGGTGCCTGGATGAAGCAGTTTCATAGGAAAAACAACAAGTTGAATGCTACCAAGACAATTGCCACATGGAAAACCTCTGCTGCCTTAGTTACTAATATCTTGAGAAACATACTAAACAAACTCTGCTTCGCCAGTTTGGCACCTGACAAACTAAGTTGAGGCGCTTGTGCTCATGTTTTGGGTGGATGAGCACATGAACCGCTAGTGCTTGACTGCTTTGCAGCAAGACCCGTGCATTGCAGTGTTGGATTTTGGCACCCAAAGAAATTAATAAAGGGTAAGACCGTAAGACGTTCTATTTGATAGCAACATTCGTTTCGTTTAAATGCGCAATACAAAGAATTATTGATGATGAGTGTTTGCTAACAAGTTCTGAATCACTACTTTGCTAGATTAGCAAGTTTCAAAAGTCCTTGACAACATTAATGAAACATGCATGTTTGGCGAGAGTTAAATGTTAACAATATGTTAAAAGAATTCCCGGTGGTTTGGAGACACGACCGCGATAACTAAGAACAACATGTGGGCATGACATTGATTTAGAAAAAACCAAGGAATAGGTAATAAAGTTGTAAAATCAGATCATGGATTTGTCATTATGATGTCTGGGTACTGGTCAACATGGAAAATTAAGTGCTACTAGTACAAAATAATAAACAAGTTTTACGGAAATACTAAGGTGGAATGTTGCAACGTGTTGAATGTAGCTCCAAAACCCTTTTTTGCCAAATCCACCTATCACATGCGTCTCTGCGTCACGAGCTGCAAGCCGCTGGAGCCGCAAAAGCCGCAGGCCGCCGGAGCCGCAAAAGCCGCAGGAGCTAGCTAGGCCAGAGCAACGCCGCAACAGTGCCTGTGCAGGGGGGGAACTCCAACTATGCTTCAATGTCTCTCCTTGATCCTTCGTTACTGACTTCTGGCATCCGGCAACGAGGAAGGGTGGCAGCATGCCACCTAAAGGTGTCTTTACTTCCCCTTTGCTTACTAGTGCGCCAGAGTGCCTCCAGACGCTCCGTTCACATCCAAAAGCGCTGCAAAAGGTTCAATGCACAATGGGCCTCAGTGCGAAGCTAGATTTCCTGGGCTAATAAAGCAAATATCAATGAAATCTTTCTATACAGTCAAAACAGATAGGCTGCTGAGATGTTTTCACTTGTATCAGATTAGACCAACCCAAGCAAATTGGAAAATGTGAAATGGCTTGGCTGATTTCTTTTGGAAAACGCCATTGCACTGTCCAAAGCTGACCTCTGCAAACTTGCTCAAAGCAAAATTGGTTTTCTGTGATGGTGAAAACCAGGAGCCGCAGAGCCGCGCAGCCATGATATCTAAATTAAAGCAGTCCTCACTCACCGGGGCTGTCTGGCTCCAGAGGAGCCTCTTCGTGATCGGTCTTCGGGGCCAAGCTTTCCAAAACATCTGGGAAAAACTTTTTGATCTCTGCTGCCAAGGCCTCGTTGAAAAGAGTCGACCCTTCCAAGGTAATCAAACCGCAAGCGGCTCTGTCTGCAATTGCTTGCAGCCACTGCTGGTGGTCCTTGTTCAGGCAGAGGCCGTGATAGACAGCGCCTCTGGTCAAGCTGGCTTCCATCATTGCGCCTGACCCTGCCGTCACATCAAAGATTGAGGTCACCTTGTACTCATCAAGGATTGCATTGAAAAAGCTGATGGGTTTGGACTCTTGCCAAAAGAGTGGCACCGCTTTGTCGCCGAAGCGGTCTTGCCAATCTTCAGGCGGAGCCGAAGAAGCCGCAGAGCCGAGAACCCGAGCTTTTTCATCCAGCGCCATGAGGGGAATTTCATAAGAGGAGCGAAACTCGACGCCACTGTAGCTGCCCTGAAAAGTTGTAGCTTCTCCACAGGACGTGAAGTTTTCACGCTTGGATGTTTTGACTCGGCCCCTCTGTGTCGGGAAGCGGACTGCCACTGTTTCAATTTTGCGAGCAGCCAGTGGCATTCTTTGCATTCGACCAGCGCGGGCAATGCATCCACCAGAGTAGACCAAGTGCATTTCCTCCGACTGCGGCTGAGCAAGCACAGCCTCTTCCTGCAGATTCTTTGGTTGTGTCTTGAATCTGGAAGTGCGTGGGTGGGTTTACGCGGACAGGAGTCAAACATGTTAGCACCACATTCCCCCAAAGATGGGTCTCACCCTGAGAAGAATTCAGCTAAAACCAGAACTACGGTTGTCGTCAGCAAAGTCGTCAGCAATCAAATCCCATTGACATCACCCATCATGTATGCAATATAAGCATCATCCACATCATCATCATCATCATCATCACCACCATCATGATCAACATCACCATCAACAACAACATCATGTTCATCGTCATGATCACCAGCACCATCATCATCACCATCATCATCACCATCATCACCATGATTATCAGCAGCAGAAGCAGTATCATCAGCAACATGCTCTTCATTGTCGTCATCAACAACAACAACAACAGCAACAACAACAACAACAACAACAACAACAACATGATCATGATCATGATCATCATCATCATCATCATCATCATCATCATCACCGTCTTTGCCAAACACAATAATTAGCATTGTCTTTTCAGCATCACTATTGTAATCGTCGTCATCGTGTTTTTCTTCGTGTTTCTCCAGGCAGATATACCACCATCGAGGCCAACCAATGCGCTGTTGCAGAGTCGACACAATATAACAGCACAAGCGCAGAAACATTCGTGCCAGCATGCAAAAGATATATTTCGTCAGTTCCATGTGATCTTGCAAAGCAACAAATAACTACACTAAGTGCAGTGAACTAACAAGACTGCACATCAAAATGAACCAAGTATCATTGAGACGGCGAACTTCTCTCATTCTGCCATCAAAGACCATTGCAAAGTCAGTTTGGCCCGTGGTGCTAACGCAGAATTCTGCAATCCCTTTCCACAGAGCCGCTTCAGGTTTGGACTGTGCCAACCATGGTTCGGCTCCTGACTCGCAGAGCAGATCCGCTGAGCCGCAAATCAAACGATGGCTGGAGTTGAGGGCCCCAGCATGCCCAAAAACTTTGCCACATGATCGGAAGCTGCTCAGCAAGCCTTCTGGTTTCCATGTCTTGGGCACACTGAAAGTTGCGTACTTGCGGCGCTCGTTCTGGACAAGCTTCCATACCCGCTCACGTTCTGCTGTCAATTCTTCGACTGACTGACCCTGGTTCAAAGTGCTGATCAAGGACGGGGCAGGCGCTGTGGCTGTCACAGAAACACTTTTGGTGTTGGTATCAAAAGCTTTGACAGCCTCACAAAGCTTAACCACCAAGGATATGGAGGCGCCCTGCGAGGCTTCTTCTGCAGATTCTTTGCCCCCAGGCTGCAGCATCTTTGAAAGAGGCTCTCCGCATTGGCTGATTTCACGCAGGTCCTCTCCATGCTGCCCACTCATCAATTCCATAAGGAGGTCAAGCAGGCATCCTGTGGCACGGTTGTACTTCTCCTTCACGGTCACAAGGGCAGATTGATTTGTAAGAGCGCCCCCTGCATCATCATCAGATTCATGGGCTTCATCCTCAGCATCCCTGGCAGCAACTTCAGAGCTGGGTTTGAGGAAGGTCTCCCAGCACTTCATGGGATTGAAGATGCTATCCTCAATCAAGGCCGCGCATGACTGGGCTTCTGTTTCCGGCAAAGTCTTCACCAAGGAGTGCGCCAAATCAAAGACCTGCCCAGGCAGTATTGAGCAGAAAAATCAATTTAATACAGTACTAATAGTTGGCTTCGCGCGGCTGCGGAACGAAAAGGCGCATGGACAACACCGACCATCCCAAAACTTAAAAAGAACGCAGACCCAGCCTGCAACAGCACTAAGCAAGCCGGCCAAAAGCCGTGACTTCCATGCTTCCTGTCCTTGTCCAGAAACGTGTCCGTAGCTTTGGCCACTGTGGTGCTCTTGCAGAGAAGAGCAAGGTGAAGCATGTCCACAAGCCAGGCAGCTATCTCCTGGGTATTGCGATGGACGTGCGCAACGCCCTTGGCAACGGAAATCAATTTCACCAACTTGCTGTAGGCATTGCTGAGCAATTCTCGGCCCCAAGCCAGCTCCAAGCGTTGAATTGCTTCAAAGAAGATACCTGCCCCAGTCGGACCCATCACACCAATGACTTGCACAGCGGCTTTGTGCATGGAGGGGTTGTAGCTGGACCCATTGAACTTGAGTTTCAATGCCGATCCTTGCGAAACACTCTCAACGCCAAGTTTTCGGCACAGCAAAGCAAAGGTCAGAAAGGTGTCTGACAAGGATGCATCCCCGATTGCCTTGAGCTTTTCGGAGGCCTGGATCCTGGCAACTGGCACATCTTTGTCGGAGGTACAAAGCCGAGCTTGTATCGTCACTGTGCAGCCGCATTCCCACAGAAGCTCGACCCATTCCTTGTCCTCAGAGCGGGCATGCCAAGTAAATATGTCTAGAAATTTACAAAAATCAAGGCATGCTCTGAGAGGTGGAATCATGATAGCATATAATTCATTTGCACGCTTTTGCTCAATGTTGGAAATTTATTGTGACTTGAAATGCACATACAAAAAAGTTATACAAGTAAGGCGATGTAATTTGTCGTCTCTAGGAAACACGAAGAGAATAATTGTTGTGTAACACGAAATTTTAGGCTAGGAGCCCCTGTCTGCAAAGCTTGGAACATCGCATAGTACCAGGCCCACAGAACGAAATGGCACCCCACCAGACTCAAAGAAGAATCGAAGCCACCATCCTTCTCCAAGTCTGTGCCGCTTTCACTGACAACGATCATCTCAATGGGCCAGACAATGCGGTCTCGTCCTGTTCTGCTCTTCTTCTGTCCTCGTTGCACTGAGGCCTTCATCGCGGAATCCTTGCTGAAGAAAGAAATGGCAAACTTCTTCAAAGTCTCCACGGACACATCGCCTGAGGCTGTCTCCCATTCGGGCGTGTTTGCAATTCGAAACACACCTGTCCGCAGCCACAAGGCCAGGCCAGCTGCCTCGTAGAGGCCGTTCACTTTGATCGAAGTCTTGCAAGTCTCTACATCCCAGGGTGCCTGCACACAAACTTAGCGCTCTAGAAAGCAGAAGCCCCATATTCAATAACGCATGACAAATGCAGGCAAGAACTGTGCCTTGTATCCACTCAAATCCTTCTCTTTCACGTCTGCTGAAATGGTCAGCGGATGTGTTTTATGCATCGCTTTTGCAGCGGCGCATTTAGAAGGAAGTTCCTTCTTGACCTTATCGGGTGAGAATGACTAGTGTACTCCAAAAACAGTTGCGGACACTGACTGGCACCATGAATTTCCAAATCTTGACTCCCAATGAGGCCCTGGCCCATGGGATGACTTGACCCATCATCTGCATCGCACTGGCCTCAAGCACATACATGTCGGGCACTAGTGTTGAGATGATACGTTAAGGAAACAAGGGCCGGACACGAGGATCTTCTGGGACCGATGGCACAGGAGCCATGACCGCTTATTAATCTGCGCGCGGCAGCGTTGCGCCCACACCGAAGAAATCAGTGAGCCGCTCGAGCCGCTTGAGCCGCTTGAGCCAGTGAACCCTGTAGAAAATCTATGAGGCCGAAGCAGCGCAGGAAGCTGCAAATCTAAGACACTATTAATTGGGAAAACATGTCTTGCATCAGAAAGGCTGCGGAATTGCTTCTTTGATCCAAGCAGATTCAAGCTTATTAGCTCACCTAAACGCAAATTTCAAAACTTCCAGAGCCATCATTGCGCTGAGTTGATCCCAAAATGCCGCGGAAGCCGCGGAAGCCGCAGGAGCCGCTCAGCTCTCAGCAGGAGGTGGTCCTGAAGTTGTCTCGTTAGCCTCTGCAGCTGCTTGCTCCTCCATCTTCTGCTCGATCTTCTTCAACTGGGTCTTCTTCCTCTCCAAGTCCAGTGTCAAAAAGGAGACACATTCCTCCAGCATTGCTTTGCGCTTCTGCATGCCAAAAGCTTTCGTTTCAGCACGAACATCTGAATGTGAGAGCCTCTTCGATTGGGTATTGTTGACGCTCATGTGAAACGGCTCTACTTCCAAAGCTGCCTTGCCATCCTTGAGGAGGGAAAGCAAGGTTGACACATCAGCTAGCCAGAAGCTGCCCAAAGGGTTCGTGAAAGGAGCTGCTCCACCAAGCAATGAATCTGTCCTGAGCGTCAGCAAAAGCAAGGAGACACTTTTATTTTCTTGCTGTTGGATGGCATGCTGGCTGAAGGCGAAGAAGGCCAAGGTCTGAGCGACAACCGAAGAAGCAAACATTGGAACAGCCGCGCGATCTTTCACGATCACAGCGGTCAACGGCGCCGTCACATCAGCTGACCAATGGTTCTTCTTGAGAAGGAGTGCCAAGTCAGCAGTCACGTCGCTGTCCAGCAAATTGCGAAGCACCATCTCCCTGTCCATGCTCACGCCGCAATCCATCATGGTCTGGATGACGTCAGGGATGCTCAGGTAGTACACAAAGCCACTCGGGCTTCCCTTGGGCTGATCCGAGGCGAAGAGAAAGCACTTGGAAGAATCTGCCAGCTTGTATGGAAGAAATGTCATAGGCCTCAAGAAAACAGGGAAAAAAAGGAGACAGAGGATTTAAAAAAACACGCATTTAATCAAAGGCCTTTCAGGTTGGGGAACATGCATGAGTCTACAGATCTCTATATACTGCAAATATATATCTATCTAAATATATATATATAATATATATAATATAAGAACCAAAGAAAGATAGATAGATAGATAGATCGATCGATAGATAGATAGATGGATGGATAGATAGATCGATAGATAGATAGACAGGCAGACAGATAGATAGATAGAAAGATAGATAGATGGATAGAAAGATAGATAGATGGATAGGTGGATAGATGGATAGATGGATAGGTGGATAGATGGATAGGTGGATAGCTGGATAGATGGGTAGATGGATAGATAGATGGATAGATGGATAGATAGATGGATAGATAGATGGATAGATAGATAGATAGATAGGTAGGTAGATAGATAGATAGATAGATGATAGATAAATAGATAAATACATAGATCGATCAAAAGACAGACAGACAGACAGATAGATAGATAAATAGATAGGTAGATAGATAGATAGAATATCCAAGTAATACAGTAAATGTTCGGTGCACAATGGGGTGGATCCCATTGCCATGTTGATGTCAGATAATGCTGAATTAATGGTGCTTGCCTCCCGCCCTTGCGAATTTAACAGGTCAGCAAAGGAACAGCCAGTCCGCAGTCCAACCCTCTTCGAAGTCCATGTGGAAGGGGTCGAAAGAGCGCTGCAAGACAAAGCCACCATCCTTGGTGACCGTCAACTTGCCTTCTGCCACTAAAGCTGCAATATTCGTGCTGGTTCGCACCCATAGCAGCATGTAGTTCGGCTCGCACATCACAGTGAATACTTGGGAGCCGCTTTCATGGCGCTTGAGGAGTGCTTTTGGGCCTGGAGGGGTGCCATGTGACAACGTCACGCCCAGCTGCCGAACGTGGTGCTTACGAGTTGCAGCAATGGCTTTGATAGGGGTATGGCTCAAGAGCCACTGCCTCGGATGTGGGTCATCGAACTCATCACACCACCTGGCCTCGTTGAACTCAGCCTCGGTCAAAGCCATGTAACCCACGGTGACGGGCTCTGCTTTCGCCATGGTAGCCGCGAAGCCAAGAAGCCGCTCGCCACAGCAAGATGTGAACAGATGTAGGTTTGAGCTGTGGATGCTGACGGCGCTGAAGGGTGTCACATGTTCTAGAAAGACCGTCCTCCAGGACCATCTGATTCATATCATAGAAACATCACAACCGGTACATTGAATCTGACTGTTGATTTCTTCTCAGCTTCTAGGGCCACAGCATGAAAAAGGGCTCGGCAGCACCTGAACACATCAGCGCATGACGACATGCATGTCGCACAACAGCCAGTGGCAAGATAATTAGCAACCTTCGAAACGGTTCTCTAGCCCTTCCACGATAAGATGCAGGGAATAAAAGGAAAATCGTCTACACGGAAAGGTACCTCAACGACAAATGCAAAACCCTGTGAAGACTTCAAGGAAACAATTTCCTTTTGCATTGCCTTTTCACTCGCAGCCTCACGGGCCCCACCCGACAAGGGCACGAATCTACCCCAAATCAACCCCAAATGAAACAGCACATCTCTCAAGAAGGCATTGCTTCTGGCAAAGCCCGCAGCTTCGGATTTGGATTTAAGGCTTTCATGATTGCCTCTTTCCATATGCCTGAGCGAATCAGGCGAAGATTGAAGTGGTGGAGCGGGTCTGGACGAGGCTGTCTGCGATTCCCCTTGCTCTGGATCGAATGCCAAGAGTGGCACCAAGCTTGCACAACCTGTTTCGTTGTGCCAGCAGGAGGGCAGCTCTTCAATGGGCTCATCAGGATGCGACCGGTCACTGCCTCATACAGCGTGCAGCTGTATGACCAAACATCAACTGAAGGGGACAGTGCATGAAAGAACTCATCAGGCTTCAGGCCCCAAAGCTCTGGTGGCCTGTATGGGCCAGTCACGTACTGGTTGAATCTCAAACCATTCGGCCATGCCAATGCCGCTGAAGCCGCTGAAGCCGCTGAAGCTGCTGAAGCCGCTGAGAGGCGGGAAAATGCTTCAGCCATGCCAAAGTCGATGAGCTTCAGCTTCCAGGGATCTTCACACCAAATTACATTTCCGGGCTTCACATCGAGGTGAACAATACCAATGCCGTGAATGGCTTCCAAAGCGGCTTTCAGCTGCAGCGCGAATGAGCAGGCGCTGCCATGACTCAAGGGGCCGGAAGTCGCCAGCACTTTCTGCAGACTAGGGCCTGCATAGTCTAATGCGATGTGTGGAAAAGGGACTCGCTCCTCTTCTACAGCCAAAATGTCTGGAAACCAGCATTGGCAGCTCAGGGGCAACTCTTTCTCCAAGCGCCGCAGGACAGAAACTTCATACTGCAAATCATCCTCCCTGCTGGAGTGCTTGAACACCTTGATCACAGCCTTTCTCCCCACATCGTTGGTGCTAAGCAGCACACAGCCATAAGATCCTTCTCCCACATACACACAGGAATTAGATCCTTCCTCCTGCCAGCATTGAAACTTCCCAATGCGGGATCCTTGCTCTGGTTGCGCATCTTCCACTGCGGCATCTGCGGAGGTAGTTTCCTCGCCTGCCGTGCTGAACCGGAATGGAATACCATGACTGCGCGAACACGAGCGCTGTTCTCGGAAGAGATCTTGCGATTGCCTGCGGTACTCTGCTCGTTCAACCTCTGAGAGCTGCTTCCAGGCCTTCCCCAAACGCTTCATCTCTCTGATGTGTTCAGATTTTGAAGCGCCCTTCCGAACTCGACAGCAGTTCTTCATGAAGAGGGCAAATGGCCGGCAAGCTTTTGGGGCCATGCCCTCAGCAACCGCCTTCATACGGAATGTGGGTTTCCGTTTGGGCCTTGCATTCCGAACCATCTGCCGATGCTCCTGCACTGAATGCTTGCCCTTGAGACGGAGAGTAGGCTTCCAAGGTGTAGCAGCCATGGTTAGTGGGAAAAGCCGCGAAACCGCTGGGCCGCTGAGCCAAAAAAGAAGGCTGGCAAAGCACAAAATCTAGCAACCTCTGTGGCTAGCTGAACGCCTCACTTCAACTATAAGAAGCTGGGTTCCCAGCAAGTGAAACCTGCAGATTGAAGTGGTGGCAAGGGACCTGATGCTTGGCCAGGGGCATGAAGCTGACAAGCATTGAAATACAAGTAGCCCTGCCGTCAACTTCGGCTCACACAGGATTGGATATTTCTGAGAAGTCGGCAAGAGAGCGCTAATTAGCCACCTTGTCACAGAAAGAGCCAGCAATCGAGAAATCCACACCACGGTCCTCACAACAGAATTCTGCATGCTAATCAGCACCCTTCCAGGCATCTATTCAACCTTTTAATGCGAAACATCAAGCAATTCACGACTTGAAAGGTGTTCATAGGGAAAGGAAAGGTCTTACATGCATGCCCTCTCGTGGGAAATATGTGATTTCACATTGCAACTTCAAAACCTAAGCGCCTGGTTCAAAATGACAAGGCCCGAAACACAATCAAAAGTAGTTCTACCGCCAAGTTGGTGCCTGCACTACTTCGGCTCACATAGGATTGGATGTTTCTGAGAAGTTGGCAAGGGAACGCTAATTAGCCACCTGGGCACAGAAAGAGGCAGCAATCGAGAAATCCACAACACTGTCCTCACAACAGAATTCTGCATGCTAATCAGCACCCTTCCAGGCATCTATTCAACCTTTTAATGCGAAACATCAAGCAATTCACGAAATGAAAGGTGTTCATAGGGAAAGGAAAGGTCTTACATGCATGCCCTCTCGTGGGAAAATATGTGATTTCACACTCGCAACTTCAAAACCTAAGCGCCTGGTTCAAAATGAGAAGGCCCGAAACACAATCAAAAGTAGTTCTGCCGCCAAGTTTGGTGCCTGCACTACTTCGGCTCACATAGGATTGGACGCTTCTGAGAAGTTGGCAAGGGAACGCTAATTAGCCACCTGGGCACAGAAAGAGGCAGCAATCGAGAAATCCACAACACGGTCCTCACAACAGAATTCTGCATGCTAATCAGCACCCTTCCAGGCATCCATTCAACCTTTTAATGCGAAACATCAAGCAATTCACGAAATGAAAGGTGCTCATAGGGAAAGGAAAGGTCTGACATGCATGCCTCTCGTGGGAAAATATGTGATTTCACACTCGCAACTTCAAAACCTAAGCGCCTGGTTCAAAATGACAAGGCCCGAAACACAATCAAAAGTAGTTCTGCCGCCAAGTTTGGTGCCTGCACTACTTCGGCTCACATAGGATTGGACGTTTCTGAGAAGTTTGCAAGGGAACGCTAATTAGCCACCTGGGCACAGAAAGAGGCAGCAATCGAGAAATCCACCACAAGGTCCTCACAACAGAATTCTGCATGCTAATCAGCACCCTTCCAGGCATCTACTCAACCTTTTAATGCGAAACATAAAGCAATTCACGACTTGAAAGGTGTTCATAGGGAAAGGAAAGGTCTTACATGCATGCCCTCTCGTGGGAAATATGTGATTTCACACTCGCAACTTCAAAACCTAAGCGCCTGGTTCAAAATGACAAGGCCCGAAACACAATCAAAAGTAGTTCTACCGCCAAGTTGGTGCCTGCACTACTTCGGCTCACATAGGATTGGATGTTTCTGAGAAGTTGGCAAGGGAACGCTAATTAGCCACCTGGGCACAGAAAGAGGCAGCAATCGAGAAATCCACACCACGGTCCTCACAACAGAATTCTGCATGCTAATCAGCACCCTTCCAGGCATCCATTCAACCTTTTAATGCGAAACATCAAGCAATTCACGAACTGAAAGGTGTTCATAGGGAAAGGAAAGGTCTTACATGCATGCCCTCTCGTGGGAAAATATGTGATTTCACACTCGCAACTTCAAAACCTAAGCGCCTGGTTCAAAATGACAAGGCCCGAAACACAATCAAAAGTAGTTCTACCGCCAAGTTGGTGCCTGCACTACTTCGGCTCACATAGGATTGGACGTTTCTGAGGAGTTGGCAAGGGAACGCTAATTTGCCACCTGGGCACAGAAAGAGGCAGCAATCGAGAAATCCACACCACGGTCCTCACAACAGAATTCTGCATGCTAATCAGCACCCTTCCAGGCATCTATTCAACCTTTTAATGCGAAACATCAAGCAATTCACGAAATGAAAGGTGTTCATAGGGAAAGGTGTTCATAGGGAAAGGAAAGGTCTTACATGCATGCCCTCTCGTGGGAAAATATGTGATTGCACACTCGCAACTTCAAAACCTAAGCGCCTGGTTCAAAATGACAAGGCCCGAAACACAATCAAAAGTAGTTCTACCGCCAAGTTGGTGCCTGCACTACTTCGGCTCACGTAGGATTGGATATTTCTGAGAAGTCGGCAAGAGAGCGCTAATTAGCCACCTGGGCACAGAAAGAGGCAGCAATCGAGAAATCCACAACACGTTCCTCACGACAGAATTCTGCATGCTAATCAGCACCCTTCCAGGCATCTATTCAACCTTTTAATGCGAAACATCAAGCAATTCACGAAATGAAAGGTGTTCATAGGGAAAGGAAAGGTCTTGTATGCATTCCCTCGCAATGGGAAAGGGTGTCATTTCACATTTGAAAATTAAAAACTTGAGCACCTTGCTTCAGCCCAGGGCAGCCAATATTTTAGGGGCAGCCTCAGGGATGTCTTTCCCTTTCCAATTGCCTCAGGCTGCCAAGCCAATGGCAACTGAACTTAATAATAAAGAAATTCTTGAGCAGGGAGTGCAAATAAATACATGCACAGGACCTGAGTGCTTTTTCAGTCAAGACACAGCGACCGAGAAACGCAAAGTTCCTGAGGACAAATCAAATGCCACGAACAATCGATGTTTGGGAATAAGGCCAGCTTTCCAGTCTCCAATGCGCTGAGTGTCTTAAGAACGTGGATGCATTTGCAAGCATTTACCACACACATGTGGCTGGTAACCTCAGCCTGGAGAGCCTGCATCTTTGGACAGCGCTGGTTCGGCCAAGACTGCAAATGCTCAACCACTTTCCCCAAAACATCGTCAGCCGCAGAGCCGCACCATCGGCCGAACACCTTGCTGTAACTACCGTTCCTCAGATACTAAGGAGGAATGGTATGAACTGACTCTGGAAGGCATGATGCTCTTAGTACCTGATGTTCTTAGCTGTGGTTCCATTGGGAGCTGCATTCCTGGCTGGCTCGCGCCAAACGTCCCAGAGCTTCCAAAGTCTGCAGGAAATGGGTGCCCATGAGCTTTGATGAGGCGCACTCAATGGCGTCCAACCTGGTAAATGCAAAAGAGTATTAGTGTGAAGAAGTGGTAAGCTACAACCTTACAACATCGCGGCCCCAACATTGGCAACTAAAAGCAAGGCCCAATGAAACATGCTCATGACGGGGAGCAAATCCGGATCCACAAGCCATGACTTCTTGCTGTCATTCACGAAAATGGCATCTAGCGAGCCATCCAGAAATTGGCCACACAAGCTCAATGCCCCTGCAAGGCGCAACTTTCCCAAATCACGATTTGGCCGCAGCTTAGTGCCATGCTTGGAGATAACCCGGGTTGGCATGTAAGCCTTTCGCTGCCCGACCCCTTGTGTGTCTCGAAAGAAATTGTGGACAACTGCAAGCAAAGCAAATCGCGGCTGCGAACTGGCTTCAAGCACAAACTCAGCAAAGCCAGGGGATCGACGGTATGCAGTCAGAATCACGATACCCAATTGCTCACGACTCTCAAGGCGTTGCATGTATGGCATCTTCAAGATATCCATCAAATAGCCTGTCACCTTGTCACCTCCTTAGGGGACAACCCGCAGCGAAAAAAACACATGGTGCCATGCCATATGCATTGCGACTGTGGGTTACAATGGGCCCCGACAGCTTGCACGGAGAATGCGACTTGCAATGCGCTGTGAAGAAAATTGCTTTGCAATGCGAATTTATGAAAGCTAATTATAATTAAGGCATATTGATGCAGTCATGAAATGTCTGCATGGAGGCATGAGCTGCACACCTATGCTTCCAGAAGAAAAATCAAGGCTCGGTGCTTCGTCACTGAATGCAAAAAGCTCCCTCTACAGCTGTCCAGAAAACTGAAGGGAGCTGCTTGCGTTCGGAGGAAAGGGTTCTCAGTGTGTAAAATCTGGAGCATCAAGTTGCCAGGGTCCTTGCCAGAGGATTTGCTGCCCCAGGATATGCTTGGGTGCCCCCTCCAGGCCCTTCTGCGTCAAACATTTGGTGCATAGGGAAAGGAAAGGTCGCACCATGTTGTTGAAAGGTTATGTATCGTTCTCATACATACATACATACATCCATCCATACCATACCATACCATACCATACCACACCATACCATACCATACCATACCACACCATACCACACCATACCATACCATACCATACCATACATACCATACATACCATACATACCATACATACCATACATACCATACATACCATACATACCATACATACCATACATACAATACATACAATACATACAATACATACAATACATGCAATACATGCAATACATGCAATACATGCAATACATGCAATACATGCAATACATGCAATACATGCAACACATCCAATACATACAATACATACAATACATACAATACATACAATACATACAATACATACAATACATACAATACATACAATACATACAATACATACAATACATACAATACATACAATACATACAATACATACATAACATACATAACATACATAACATACATACATACATACATACATACATACATACATACATACATTACATAAATACATAAATACATAAATACATAAATACATACATACATACATACATACATGTTTAGATGCATACAATGTGTATCATTACTATTTTTGATTATTAATGAAATCATTATCAGTAAAATGGTGTGTTTTTCATATATGTGCTAGTTTCTAATATGATGTATGATATTCACCTTAGAAGACGATGATAATCAAATTTGCTGATGTGGTCTCGAAACATCAATGTCTTTGCACAGCTGGAAGGTAACATATCTCCTTCTCCAATGGTGGAATTCGACACCCGGCTCGATAAGTCATATAGGCAGCCAAGGCTGCCTCACAGCAATACCAAACATGCCAAACAACCACAACCACACTGGGAAAGAGGGGCCTGATGCAATGCTGCCCAGTTGCTACTGGCAGCTCAGCATGATCGAAACCTCTGAACAGAAACTCCACCAACGGCAACAAGTTGCCATCCTTTCCCTCAATGCATCGCTTGGCAGCCTCTGTGCAACAAGCAGCTGGCGACCCCCCCACACTCAGTCAAAGAACGAAGCCAAGGAACTTTGCAGGCAGCTCGCTGGACACGGCTCCATTTCTCGCTCGTTTGCTCAGAGTCTGCGGCCTTCAACCACAGCTTGACAGCAGCAGCAGGATCCACAGGAAGCGGCGCCATGCCTCTTTCATTGTGGGCAGAAAACCTTTCATTGCTATATTTGAGGAATCCCGACCCTTCCATGCAATACACTCATAGAAATTCTACCTTTCGATTCCAGAAATGCGGAGTTTCAGCCTTGAATGTCTTCATTTTACCTTTCATTGCAACCCCAAAACTAACCCCCTGGGCTCTCACGAGCCAGGGGCGTATTACATCGGGCAATGCCCTCTTCAATACGGGGCTGGCTTGCACGAGCCGGGACCGTAATGATGAAGCTTTTGATCCTTCAATACTGAGAACTGAAGTAAAGCAGATTGTCTAGGGCAATGCCCTTTCGAATACGGGCCTGGCTTTTGCAAGCCAAGGGCGTATTACTATGGGGAGCTTTTTTTGGCTTTTTTTGCTGCATGAGGCTGGCACATGACAATGCGATTCACTGTCATCCGACCTTTGAGAACATCCCTGTAACACCCCTTGATCGCCGAAGCATGCGAATTGATCGCACAAAAGACCAAAAATCCTTCCATGTCGCTACTTTCTTCACTGTAGCCTTTTTGCTACCATGCTTGCAGCCAGTAACAGCCTTGCCCACAATGTGAAGCTGCCACCGGGAACCACGAGCTTCTGCGCAGATCTTGAATGCAGAAGCTACCAATGCACACCTCACAGGGACATGTGTGCAATGAAACTATGTTGCTGCACTAACCATCATGGTTTTACGTCGCAACGGGTCAGACAACTGACTTATAACATACCCTTTCCAAAAGTGGTGGCTTTGTGAACTTTAGCCTGGCGATGTCTCCAGAAACTTCCAATGAAAGTGCCCGTGTTCTTGCTGCAGCGCTGAACCAAAGAAACAAGTCTGGTTTCCATTGCTTTCTATCCGAAGTCTCCACTGCAGCTTTTTCAGCAACCATCTTCCCGAGGCCATAGCAAATCAACAAAGCCGCAGCCTCAGATCATCCAATACTAGTCATATAGGGTCATAGATATGGGAAAAAAACAACCTCATTTAGGGTAACAAAAAAAGTCCTCGCAGCTTTTGAAGCATGCAATTGCAGCAGCTTTACTTGGTCTGTACAAGTGCAAACCAGCTGAACCGCTCAAGCCGCGGAGCCGCTGGAGCCAAGTTGAAACAATGTCCTGTGAATTATATAAAATAAATAGTAAATTAAATCAATTAAACAGAAGGCTCGACTATCTACCCCAGCGGGTGCCCTGCAAGTACATCCTCTTGCAATGGCCCTTTTGGCCCTGTTTCAGCACAACCTTGGCAGCTTTCCGCTTCGGTGTCCTGAGGCCTTTCTTGAATTTGGCAGCACTTCCAGCATTTCGTGGCAAGGAAAAACGTGCTCTGAGCTTGGCTTCCAAGGGCCCCTCCTTCGGCTTCCTCTGGACATTGACCAGTTCTACCGGGGCTGAGCAAATGGAGGCATCACCGCTGCGATGTGCAGCTGGAAGGTTCCAATCTACCAGGAGCAACGTCATCAGTGTAGCCAATGCTACCACCGGAATGTGCATGGTATTGCCGCCCATCGATGCCAAGTCCGATCCTTTGATGCTTGCTGGAAAAACCATCCGATGGAGAGGGAATCCATGTAGCAGAAGCATCTCGTGGGGCACAATGGCCCTTTGAAGCTGGGCAACGATGAGATGGGAGCGTGGCGTGACAGTAGGCAGCTTGCCGTCAACACGCTCTCGTGCCCTTCCTAGACTCTGTGATAAATCGCACGTCAGCTGGTTAGCTTGCCCAACCCACTTCTGTGACAATCTTACCCAGAGGTCTCTTTGCCGAGGCAGATGCAAAAACAACCTATCGGGTGAGCATGTAGGAACGCTCTGTCCAAGGCTGTTCTCGTGCGCATGCGCTGCATGCTTCTCTTTCCATTTTGTCCTGCAAGATGGATCTGGAAACCCTGCAGAAGCAGCTTCCTGCCATCGTTCCCTCCTGCAGGCCTGAGATTCACACACCAGAGGATGATCATTTGGCAGGAGGCGCTGCGACA